CAACTGCGAGCAACCAAATTAAAACAAAAACGCAACATTAAGTATGGTTTTGATTTAGTGTTTAAAGTTTGGGATTTATTGCGTGTGTAATCCTTGTTGCTCTGTCTACTTTAGCACTTTGCCAGCAAGGGAGATCACTAAAGCACGATAGTTTTGGGTAACTTTGGGTTGAAGAGAGATTGATAGAGTAAAATATATTGACTCGAGTTTTTATGTGAAACAGACATCGTAAACATGGAAAATGAATTTCTGAAGTTTCATTTCCCGTAATCAAACACACCTAATTTTACACTTACTAATAATAAACCCATGTACCAAAATATACCTAATATGATATTATCTTATGATGAAACACTTATTTAAAATTTTTAAGAAATTGTATGAACCAAATGATCTTAGTTTTTAAAGGAACGGTTGTCATCTCTAAAGGTTCTAAATTCGAACACCGGCCGGAAAGTATTGAATTAATTGTCAAATAATTAGTATTTTAGAACAAACTCTATCAATTGTAATAACTCTAGATTAACAAAAAAATTAAGGAATTGTTAAGCAAAAACAAAGAACTAATTAGAAAATTTCAAAAAAAGAAAAAAAAAAAAAAGAGAGACAAATTAAGAAATATAAAATAAGATTAAAACTAGAAAAAGAAAGGCAGCCGTAAGAACGCTCTTACAAAATGTTTTCCTTAAGAAAAGAAAAGATTACAAACTCACTCCAAACCTAGGACCCGTCAAATTTTCCTCGAATCAATTATTTATCAGACAGGCAACATTCGAATTGTAGACAAATTCCATTGTGTACTATTTTCACTGCTCATTTGAAGGTCGGAATACGGTATAGTCATCGATGTCACATGCCATATTCAGATACTCTGAGCTGTAGTATGGGTAACTTTCACCATCTCCATTCCTCATGCCAAGTAAAGACGGATTGGAAAATGCCATTTGCCACCGGGTTGGGACCAGTCCATCAATTTGCTGGACACCGGCATAAGGTAGGGGGCTAGCTTGTGGAATAAACTCCCTCAGTGTATCGAAATTGTTGCCTGCGGAACTACTGTAACCTCGTTCGAACCTGCCACCGTCGTAACCCGTGCTCGCTCAAACCTGCATGAGACACTCAAGGATCCCATTTCACCTGACAAGCCAAAATCGGATGGAAAAGAAAAATGCTGATTTAATAATAAATATGATCCATTGCCAAGTGCAGGGAAGCCTGTTCCTGCCCTACCAACATTGTGTTCCTCATCAAGCAACTCATTGATGATGTCAAGATGTGGAAATTCATCTGCCAACACACTTGGGTCTGGCGCCCAAAGTACAGGCTGAAAACTCCATTGATAAGTGTTTCCCTGGATCCATTACGCACAGATCGACTTGTACAAGACAAGATTTTCAATCTCACCGAGCAAAGAGGATCGGAGTGCATGCTTCTAGTGCTACCCCTACGAAACTCTCCATCGAGTTGGGAACATCACTAAAGGTTTCATCAGTTACCATGCCTAGTGGAAGGCCTAATTGGACAGAATTTCTCTCCATCCTCTCAGAACTCTGGGGCATATACATTGGAGTAGAAACAAAGGCAGGTGGTTGCGAGCATACTAGTGATGGGTTGACTGCTGAGCTAGGGGAGTTGGAACGAGTAAAACCAGCTGAACTAGAAGCAACATTATGGTTACCTATTATGGCCTTTCTATAAGATTGAGGATCATAAATAGTAGCTGGAGATGGATCAGGACCTAAACGGCCAACGGCACTAACTGATCGAGCAAGTAAAGGCGATGTTTGAACCATAGAAACAAAAGTAGCAGTTGGCCTAGTACCAGGAATTAGAGGAGCACTGGAGGGCCTTGACATCACAGGTAGTTGTGGGGTCGTAGGTTTTTAAGTTGGTTTCAGACCTGCAGCCTTCTGAGTCTCTGATTTCAACACACCAGCTATTTTGACTGATATACTTGAAGATGCAGGTTTATCACTCTGTTGCAGGCAGTTTGATGAATTCCTAACCGACGGAGAATCTACTCTACCAGCATTCCTAACCGACGGAATCTACTCTACCAGCACTCCTGTACTAGACCCAGACTGAGCAGATGGCAGATTTCTGGGAGGGCTTCTTGGAGAGGATGGTACAGCAGCCATGTTCTCTTTAGGTCTTTCTAAATCAACTGAATCTTGGGTACTTGGTTTCTTTTGTAACAGAACTTGTTCCTGAATCACATTGAGAAGATAAATGTCAATCATTACAACTTTTGTAGTGGCAGAAAGACTCACTGAGATGGAACATAAATATACACCACCTTCCTAATAGTATCATGCTCGGCCCACTTTGTCTGATCTGACAAGGAAACAGCAGGCTCGAACTCGGACTCACCAGCCTTACTACTTTTAGAAACATCATTTTGATGCCCTGAATCTAATGCCGGACAAGGCCGATTATCAGATTCTGTAGTCCAACTACTGCAATCGCTACTGTTTTACTTCGCTGGTTCCTCTCCTCTACAAATTTGAAGACCCAGATGAGATAAATACCTTGTCTTATCATCCAGAAGCAACGAAATAAACCTAAGCAATACTTTACCTGCTCAGTGATTGTTTATTGTGGTTTGAAAACGAGTTCCCTTTATAGGTAACACTCATTACCACTGATGGTACCGAGTCTGTCGAACATGTCGATGAACTATCATCCATTATAGATGGGCTCCTCTCATCACCTACTCCGTTCTGTACACATGACAGTCCACTTATTCCACTGGCACAGGCTTCTGCAGGAGGATGAATTTCTGATGTATCAGTATCCCAATTAACAGGATTAGCATCTCTGTCTTCTGAGTCAGGCTGAAGAACATCCGTGGCAGCATCAACTGAACCAGAAACATCACACAGAACATCAACCATTACAGGCACTAGCGGCTCCTCCACCATCATGGAGGCTTCTTTTCATCATTGGGGGTCCTCTTGGGCTTCTCCTGTGCTGCCACAATAGCCTCTCCTCCCTCCCCTTATCTTTGCTTTTCCGATTATTCCGTTTTGCTTAGACTGCAGTATGTAAGCATTGGAAATGCCCGTATTCAGAAAAGAACTTTTCAAATTAATTTCCACGATCTTAACTTTTTACAAAATGGAAGTCTATATATACGTTATGAACATCACACATACTCAAATTGCTTCCAAAGTAAATTAGGGAATGTTCCAGATAATAACCAAATAAAATAAATTTTGAATATGAAAAAACATAATTTTATTAGATTAGGTGGTCCATGGAGAGTATATTCAGGATATTTGCCAAGATTCTATCATGCCATAAGCAACGAGTATACCTGTTTTTTCTTTGGTTTTTTCTCCTTTTCAGATTGAGCTCGTTTAGCCTTCTTCTCGCTTTCAGCCAACCAGGCAGCTTCTTCACGGATTCTTGCATTTTCAAAGCAACAGCTTCCTGATAGGCAACTTCAATCTTGTTGCTGTATGTAATCACAAAAAATTAGGGCATCCATGGGTACAAATAAGTATCACTGTCATCCTTTAATATCCTACGGAGATGGCTGAAAAGAAGTTCGAAACGCTGAAAATTAAGAATCCAAGCTTTCCATTAAGCTGACAGAAGAAGTCATATAAAGGAGTACAAAATAAAGTGTAACTGCGCATTACCACCAAATTTGTGCACATAAACGTCCATCAGAAAATATGACAATGCCCTATTTCTAGAACAAATATATTTAGCTGGTAGGAATACACTTTTGTTCTATACCATTTTGGATAGAGTTCTCATGTCAACTGGACACATCATGCAGATATACATATGCATTATGTAAGAGAATGCAAATCCCAAAGTCCTGGTGAAGAAAATTCAGCATTCATTTAGTACGAAAAATGTACGCTAAATTCTAAAATTTGCAATAATTAGTGGTAGCATAGACCCTCAAACTTTTGAGAAAAATAATTAGTGTAGTCCCTGAACTTTTTTTTTTGCACCAAATATGATTGTTAAACTTAGGAAAAAAAAATTAATCTAACCCTTAGAATAACGGAATCAAACATCAACTATCACAACGCTTACATTACAATTCACAAATTTACATGACAATATACAATGTTAATGTAACAATTCACGATACTATTTTGATAGTAAACGATGGATGATGATATGGTAGATAGATTTAATTGATTATTTTAGAAAGTTTGAAGATTAATTAGTTTTTTAAAAATAAAAAAAATATATTTAAATTAAAATATAAAATATAAACAATTAAGATATTCAATAATTAAATGTAAAAATACTACAAATCAATTATTAAAAATAATTTAAGGATTACATTGAATGTAAAAAGTTTAGGGACTATATTGAATTTTTTACAAAAGTTTGAGGGTTTCAGATACCATTAAATCAAATATGTTAGAATGATTTAAACATGTGTAGGTTTAGGTTAAAATCTAGAGAGTTCTTAAAGCAAAAAGCTAAATCCATTGGCTTAAGGTGATAAATGTACCAGATTCTTTCACTTAGTAATTGCTTCTAAGAGGAAAAAAAACACCATTAGAGTGATTGTTGAGAGTAGGAAAGGCTCGACCTTCGTGACATGTCCTCAAAGTTGTTAATTTCTTCAAAAGACTCCTTGGCTCCTATGACTCTAATGTCAAAGAATGTCCCATTAATCTTCTTAAAGAACTCTTGTCCCCTATTCCTTCCTTTAATGATTTTAATGGCCTCAAAAAGGAAGTCTCTTATGATGAAATCAAGGAGGCTCTTTTTAGCCAGGGAATGATAAGGCTCCTGGCTCTGATGGTTACACCCCTCTCTTCTTCAAAAAGCGTGGCCAGTGATTAAAAGCGACGTTACTGAAGCAATTAAATTCTTCTTCCAAGAAGCTTATTTTTCCAGCTTTTAATGCCACCACTATTGCCTTGATCCCCAAGATCCTCAACCTCAGCAAAATTTCTGACTTCCGTCCTATCTCTTGCTGTTCTGTCATATATAAGACTATTACCAAGATCATTGTTAAAAGAATGACTCCATTGCTGCCAAAGATCATTTCCCAAAACCAGTCTACCTTGTCAAAGGGAGAAGTATCATTGATAATACTCTTTTAGCCCAAGAAATAGTGAAAGGTTATAGGAGGAAATCTACCTCCCCTAGGTGTGCCCTCAAATTGATTTGCATAAAGCCTTTGATTCTATTCACTGGAACTTCATTCTTTCTATTCTCAAGGCCCTTGGTTTTCCAAATTCCTTCATGCAGTGGATTGAGGCTTGCTACTTACTCTATTGCTTTCAACGGTACCTTAATTGGGTACTTTAAGGGTGAAAAGGGTCTTAGACAAGGCGACCCTCTCTCCCCTATCCTGTTTGTTTTGGTGATGAACATCCTATCAAAACTTTTAAATACTGCTGCTGCTAAAGGGATCTTTAACTTCCACCCTAAATGCAAGAGAACTTGCCTTACACATCTAACTTTTGCTGATGATCTGCTTATTTTCTGCAAAGGCAATCTGGAATCTATCATGGGAGTAACCTCTGTCCTCGATTATTTCTATGAAATTTCAGGTCTCAAACTCAGTGCTGCTAAATGCGAATTTTTACTGCTTGAATTTCTGCTCTTTCTCTTGACACCATTATTAAGTCCTCTGGTTTTAAGCTTGGTTCTTTTCCAGTCAGATACCTAGGGATTCCTCTAGTCATGAGGAAACTTATAGTTAAAGATTGCCAGCCTCTCATCGACAAGGTTAAACTCAAACTTCATCAATGGTCCAGGTTGAAGTTGAGTTATTCAGGCAGACTTGTGCTGATAAAAACGGTCCTTTTTAGTATGGCAAATTACTGGTGTAGGCAGCTTATTCTGCCTCAATCTGTCATCAATAAAATCGAACAGATTTGCTCGAGATACTTCTGGAAAGGCTCTGATATTCCTGCTGTGGGAGCTAGAGTTAGTTGGGACAGAATTTGTAAACCAAAATCAAAAGGTGGACTCGGTCTCAAGGACATCAAATCATGGAATAAATCTTGCATGATGCTCCTCATTAGGCGCCTTCTTATAGGGGAGGGTTCTTTTTGGGTTGCATGGATCCAATCTTATTATTTTAAGGACCGAGATTTTTGAGAGATTGAAGCTCCTACGAACTCAAGTTGGCTTCTAAGAAAAATTATGAACCACCAATCAGCTGCTCGTCCTATCCTCGCCTCAAGAGCATTGAATACAAAACAGATTTGGGAAGAGGTTTGAGTGAAAAACAGTAAAGTATCATGGCAAAAGCTGTTATGGTTTTCTTTCCACAGTCCCAAATATAGTCTTATCTCTTAGATGGCCATTTTAGATCGTCTCCCCATAAAGGATAGATTTCAAAGATTCGGTGTAACACCCTCAACCCGTATCTGACCCGAATACGAGTCGGGGGTGTCACATTGACTTTTCAAACTTTGACTCTTGACAAAATTCAAAGAAAATTTAAAACTTTCATTAAAATAAAGCTGTTTATTTACATAAATTGACCAAAATAACATTCAAAGAAAATTTAAAACTTTCATTAAATAAAGCTTTATTACATAAATTGACCAAAAATAACCAAATCGATCACAGCATATTCAGCTCAATCAATTAGTACATGCCAACTAGTTCAATTAACCAAACACATTTAAATCATTTATTTTCTGATCTGAAACTTTGTAAGGAAAATGCTGACCTGTCTTGCTCCTCTAAACTTCTCTTCTTGCTTTCCAGAACCTACGTGTGAAACACTCACACGCTAAGTCTATGACTTAGTGAGACATTAAACACATTAAAGTAACTTTAACTACTTAATCATGCATGAACATACCATATCATGCTATCATACAAAACAATATAGCATTTCATGTAATCAAATATACACATAGACATCATTATATCAATCATAATACAATTCATATCACAAAAGCATATACTTACATGTAATATATATGTTTATTATTATCTCTTTGTTAGCCCATGTACATCTGTGAGAACTGTAGATATTTCTATTGAGTTGTGCACTATGCTGTCACCACAGCTCGTATGGGTCCCACTAGGCTATGTTTCCTGAAGGACTATGTCTATATTTGTCCCGAAGGACCACTCCTTAAGAACCTATACATATTTAATGATCACATATGTGTCTCATAAGACCCTGTAAATATTCCAAAGAATACATATATGTCTCGAATGACCACGTAGAACCCTCGACTCTTGGCATGACAACTATACCTCTAGCTCTCTTTACACATAACATGGGCATTAGCAATCTATCATGTCACATATTCACATGTACACTTTCATATCACGTCATATAAGCTCATAGCTTCTTTCACATATACATGTAGTCACATAGCTTTTTCATATTCTCATAAGATTACATAGTTTTATCTTTACTTGTTTTCTCATGTTCCATATATCCTGTCATATGGCTCATATATACATCTCATAGCACATACTTCTATATCATTACATTCAAAAGTATGTTAACACATATATCATGCATACATACAATTTATGTCATGCATATACGTACAATCATATATCATGCATTCAACTAGGAAATAGACTTGTTACAGTCTTGTTTCCATTTAGCACCATAACGAATTAATATGCACTCACCTGAGCCTCACTAAGTTCCAATCCACTTTTATGATTTTTCCTTTCTTTCGATCGAATCTTAACTTAATGATTGTTTCAGAACTTATTCGTGTTTGATATCTACATAATCACATATTGATACATATCAGTATCCAATTGATATACTCTAATCTATCATTTCTTAGACTAAAAGAAATGTCTATTTCAATTTCCCCTTGAAGTGCATCGATGCATTCTACAGTGCATCGATGCATTCTTTAACATGTGCATCGATGCATTCTTTAACATGTGCATCGATGCATTCTTTAACATGTGCATCGATGCACTACCCATGCATCGATACACAAATTACCTTTGATGTTTTCATTTTAAGGGGATGCATCAATGCACTCCTTATGCATCGATGCACCAATTGCATTCGATGTTTCTTCTTTAAAGAGTGCATCGATGCACATTGAATATGCATCGATACACCTTGCCCAGAATTTTCATTTTAGCACGAAAATCATCAACTCTTCCCTTAATTCTTCTATTTTAAGCCTCTAATATGTCATTAAACTCAACTACCTTACTTAAACCACTTATATCCATGTAAATCATCTTTAACCTCAAAATCCTATCTCCTTATGAAATTCAAAAATCATACTCAATTTCTAACATGTTCCAAATTCCATTCAATTACTTCTAACTTCTTAATTAGACCCTTGACAAGTCCAATCCAGCTTTAGAACTTCAAAAACCTTTCTATAACAAAGTCCATTTCTACACCCTTCATAAATTTCCTTTTTAATTCTCTATTCTTGATGTTTAAAGCTTATATAGCTTTCCTTAAGCTTATATAATACTCAAAGAATCAAAATCAACTTATAAATCCAAATTAAACAACTGAAATTAAACTCACCTTTGCTCAGCACGTGGAGAATAAGAAAGCAAAAGAAGAAGAGTTTTCCAGATACCTTCCCCTCCCACGTGTTTACTCTTCTTAAAGAGATAAAAAAATATCTTTTATGACAAATGACCACTTTGCCCTTAATTCCTTTAATAATTACTAACAACTTTATGAAATATTCCCAAATAAATCATTGAACTATTTCATTCTTCTACTTTAATCACCATTTCTAAAACTTTACAATTTGGTCACTAACCTGGTATTGAGGATGTTACATTCGGAATTGAACGAATGACCTGTGCATCCTTTGTTCATTAACTCACCTTTGCTCAGCACGTTGGAGAAGAAGAAAGCAAAGAAGAGAGTTTTCCAGATACTCCTCCCCTCCCACGTGTTATCTCTTCTTAAAGAGATAAAAATATCTTTTATGACAAATGACCACTTTGCCCTTAATTCCTTTAATAATTACTACAACTTATGGAAATATCCCAAATAAATCATTGAACTATTTCATTCTTCTACTTTAATCACCAATTCTAAAACTTTACAATTTGGTCACTAACCTGGTATTGAGGATGTTACATTCGGAATTGAACGATGACCGTGCATCCTTTGTTCTGAAGCTAGTGAATCAAGAAACCATTTTTGTTGATTAAGTTCACTGCACAATCTGGAATTCTATCCTTCAGCTCGTAGGCTTACAAAACCATCGCAAACTTGGGAAGATCTGTGGTATGGGCTACAAATTCATGGAAAGGTAAATCCTTACTTACTATGATCTTGAAGATTTCTTGGTGCACTCTCAATTATACTTTGGAAGAAAGAAACCAAAGATTATTTAGAGGAACTTTCAGAAATGAGAATTCAATTCTGGAATCTAAGCAAATTGTTGGAATTCAACTTAGTAATAAAATGTTAATAGATTATATAGAACTAATCTTTCTCTATGTTATAACTGGGTATAGATTGATTTTGTTGTATTAGATCCCATCCTTCTTGCTCTTTGGATTGTAATTGTTGTATTTTTTTGTAGAAGGCTACTGCTATTCTTGGGTAATACAAAGTTTAATTATCCAAAAAATAAATCTAGATACAATGTTTGCGTATTTTTTGAATTTCCAAAACAATTTTAATGAAAATATTGAAAATAACTTTTTATGTTTTCATATTTTAATTATTCTTATTTTTATTTTTCAAAATTAATTTTTTTAATTTTACAACCAAACACGTTTTCTTCAACATTTTCTATTTTCTATGAAAATTAAAATAGCCTATATTTTCTTAAACCAAATTAACCCTAATTTTTTATTATAAGCTTATTAAAGTAAAACTTTGCTCCATATGTCACTCATTAATTGATTGGAAGGGCCACACATATTTTTATGACATTAAGGGGCTATTTGTTTACTTCAGAATGATTAAGCGTGATAATTCAAATGTTGAATGATTCAGAGCTCTGTATGAATTAGCTCTGAATGTAATATGTTTGATAATGGCTCTGAATCATTCAGAATGTACTTATGTGTTGAATCATTCAACACTATTTTGCTGAATCAGTCAGCACTGAATCATTCAGAGCTGCAAACAATGCGCTAATGTTAACCGTTCAACATTCAACGCTGAATGGTTCCATTAAGAGGCAAACAAACAACCCCTAAGTGAAGGGGTCAAAAGCGATGACGAAATAAAAAAAGGCATTTATATATAAAAGAAACTTTAAGGACTAAAACAATAATTTGGATAATTTGAGTAGAGCCGACTCAAAAATTTCAGACCTATCACACCCCAAAAATTATTAAGATTTAATTATGAGATTAAAGTAAATTAATTTGAGGACTAGATTGTGAGTTATTTAAATAAGATTAGTTTTCTAGTTATCAGTCAATTCAGGAACTTAGAACCAAGTTTACCCATTTCTTTGACCCTTGAATGTTAAAAGCATGGTTATCAAAACCGGATCGGACCGGCCGGTTCAACCGATTGAACCGAACCGGTGGACTATCGTTCCGTTACCTCACAAAACCAGTCTGACATGAACCGGCTGAAAACCGATAAATCCGGGGTGAACCGGTTGAAAACGGCAAAACCGGTTTGAACCGCCGGTTCACTTTTTTTCTTTGTAAAAAAAATTAAACCAAACGACGTCGTTTGTTCAACGAGCCAAGTCAAATTCGAGTATTGCTGAGCTCGCCGCCTCGAACTTTAAAAGTAAGCTCAACTCGACTCAAAAACTCACGAGCTAAAAATTATCAAGTTCAACTCAAACTCGAATATAATATATATTAAAACTTGAACTCGAAAGGCTCAAACTAAAAAAAATTAGAAGTTCCATTGAAGCCTAAAATTTGAGCTCAATTGAAGCGAAAGAATAGTTCGCTCTGTGTTCACCAAAAGGCTCCATGATTTTGAATGTCAAATTACCTCTTATTTATAGAAGTAAGTTGGGATGCTCTATGTTTCTTAGTCATGTGGGATTATTTTTTTTAAAAAAATAAACCAAATGACATCATTTCTTATGATTTTTTTAAGCCCCAATTTTATTTTTTGATTATAGTTATATAATTATATTTATTATTTAATATGTTTTACCTTAAATATTATGTTGTAGTTGATTTGAATCATT